TAAGATAATTGATATTTATTAGTTAATAAATTAAAATCAATCAATAAACTCATTTTTAAATACTATTATAAAAAATAAAAAACTAATTATATTTTTTATAATCATAATAGTACTTTTTAAATACTATCATTATATTATTTTTTAAGGTGAATTGTACACAAATAGTGTAATCTACTTTATAAATTTATTTAAATAACTTTAATAAAATAACATAAAAAATTATTTCATTAAAAATATTTAAATAAATTTATAAGATAAACTGCAATTCTAGTATACAACTCACATGAAAAACAGTTTTTCCATAACAATAACCACGTCCCTCGCTTATTTGACAAATCACATCATCAAATCGTCAATTTCTTAAGAACAATGTTATAGGGAGAAACCTGTCGTTATTCTCTTTCATGTGAGTGACTCACAACTTCAAGTAACTACAAAATCATGATTAATTAATCAATATATAAACAATGGAAGCCTGACTAAAGCAGAGGAAATTAAATATCCGTATAATCAGGAAGAGTTGTGAAGAATATTTCAAAGGTTTCCGTTACTGAGAACAGAGTATGCTGAAAAGCAAAAGCTTGGAACTGCTACGGAAGCCGGTTGATCTTTCGAGCCTGGAACCTGTTAGTTTTAGGATCATAAGAAACCAGAGCTTTCTTGTTACACTCCAACACAATCTTCCTGCTCTTCAGGATACATAAAACTCTTACGAAGCAAAATCTTCAATCACCATTCCGAGAGCAGCATTGTGAGACTTGTTACAGTCCAACACAATCTCTCCGTTCTTCAGAACTACTTCTCGAGAAAAAGGCAGATAATAGTCAGGTGGGTCTCATTGCCATACAACAGAGGTCATCCATGATGATGTAAATAACACAACTGCTATTGATACATTGATGATCAAAGATTCAACACAAACCAAAAACTAGTAGTAGAGTCTTACAGAAAAAGGATTGATTGAAGAGAGAGTTAAAGTTGCAAATTCACGGTTGCCTCTGCTGAGAAAAGAGAAGGTAGGAAAGGAAGTGCCTGGAAATGCTTGGGTAACGCAATCATTTGAAGAGTCTTGGATCTGTGTTCTACAGGATCATAAGAAACCAGAGAACCGTAATTATGCTCTAACAGAATCTCACCATTCTTCAGTGCACATATAACTTTGGGAAGTCTTCTTGGTCTTCTTGGCCATGCCGATGGCCGTCCACCAAAAATAAAAAAGAAATCAAAGGAGAGTTGTTTTACCCAAGATTCCTTAACACGGTATTGCTTCATCACCCATATATCAAAATGCACAGAATCAGGTAACCCAGCTGCCGATAGACACCGATTGAGCACGGAAAGACTGTAGCCACCTGACACAAGTTGTTCACAAGGTGGGTGCGGAATTTCTTCGAACACCTCATCTGCAAGGTCGAAGGAGATAATACCTAAGATTGAACCGAGTTCTCCCGTCCCAACAACAGTCACCCAAAGGAGAGATCCTTCAACTTGAGCCTCAGGTGGTCTGAATACATCCACCAAGTGTGGAGGCGTAGCTCCTTTGTTTCTCCACTTTGTTGTTCCTACGGTTAATACCTGAACCATTGATTTATCAACAGTGACGAATTCTTCATCCACTTCTTCCACCGATTCTTCATCCACTTCTTCCACCGATTCTTCATCCACTTCTTCCACATCTAGCGCCGGGTCTACTACCGTCATGATCTTCTGATAGTACACAATCCTGACCAATTTGAATTCACCTGTCCTCGGATGACACCCAAACCCAAAAAATTCACTTTGATTCAGCAATTCCTTCGCTGGTGGGACGCTCACAGCGTGTCCAACAAAAGGATTGTAAATTAGCAGACTACGAGTCCTCCATAATGTGGGATTGGGATAGGATACGCATAACAGCCCGTTACAAGAACCCACCAGATTATAAACTTCTGAATGCTGTGGTGGGTCGATTTTCCTAACCCTTCGACTACAATCCTCACTATCCACAAAATAGAGTTGCAAGGGCCGGGGGGCAACACTATTGTGGTGGTACAGAATCAGACATGGGTTTGAGTCGCTTACCCGGTTGTGGAACATCGGAGGGAGTCTTGGATCGGCAATTAAATCATAGCAGGCATGGGAAGTGGTCTTGAAGTGGATCAGAGAGGTGATCGGGAGTCTTGATAGGATTTCGCGCAGAATATCCGGTGGAAGAGGATGAAGAACTTTCTGGACCATCGCTTTGTTGGAAGGATCATCTGCAAGGGTGACCATCGCTTTGTTGGAAGGATCATCTGCAAGGGTGACTCTTTTCTTCTCTCCTTCTTCTTCAGCATCCATGTCTGTGCGAAGAGAAAGGAAATGCGAATGATGGAAGACGTCGCCGGCGTCTTACATAATACATACAGCGTCGAACCCGAAGTCGATAATTGACGCTTCATCTTATTGGGTTAAAGCCAAATCTTCGTCCCTCTACTTTTCAATTTTCTTCGTTTCTATCCTCTTACTAAGGAATTGATTAATATCTTCATCCTACGCTCACATTTGAGATTTGAGACAACTTGATATAATATTGAAGACAATTTTAATACAACTTAGATGCATTTGAACTTTGATACAACTTGATATGATATTAAACCTTAAAACCTAATAATATCAATTATAATCTTAAAATTCTAAACCCTAACACTTAAATCTTAAATCTTAATATGCACTTTAAATTTTAAATTCTAAAAGTTTAAACCGAGCACCCTAAATATTAATGAATAGTAAAGGTTTAAATTTTAACATCCTAAGTATTGAAATTTAAAATAATCTAAACCCTTGTATTTAAAACTAAATTTTTAATAAGGTTTGAAAACTAAAAAATAGTTCGAAAAAGTTGAGGGATTAAAATGAATTTAAATTACTAAATTAAGCAATTTAAAAAATTACTTCTAAAAAAGATTGCTAAATTAAGGGACCAATTCTTTGTTTCACTATAACAAAGGCAAAAGAAACCAAGGGAACAGGGGCTTCCATGTACCATTCGGCCTCAATCGGTCTTAAAGACCGTCGGCCTCCTAAGAATTAACCGGATGCAATTGGTAAGAAGACCACGTGCCGCTAGTAGAGGCCGACCTGACCCGGTTACCCGGACCTGCGTCCCTGGGCTTTTTGTTGTTTTGCTTGTAACGAGGTAAAAGAAAACTAAAAATCAAGGTTGTCATGATAATTTAAATGTGAAAATTAGGATAGTTAATGAGTATAGTAGTTGGTAAGTAATTTGTGAGTTATTTGAGTTAAATTTGATTTAAACTCAACTAATTTGATAAATAAGTTGAGTTCGTGTTTGATATTGAATTTAGTAAAATAATGAGTTTGAGGTCAATTTTTATAATTACTCATGAGCTATTCATAAATACTTAATTTGAAATTAAAAATTATGTTATATATTTATTTAAGATAAGAATCTACTTACACACAAGTTTTACACATTAAATTTATACAAAATCTCAATCATTTATCTGTTTACTTTTAATAGTTGATTTATTTATATTTATTAAAAATAATTTTTTTTAAATCATAAATTTCAAGAATGATCAAGATTTTATCAAAATATAATATATAAAACTTATATGAAAATAAATTTCTCTTCATTTATTTATTAAATTTAAATATTTAATAACTTGAAAACTTAATATAGTCGAAATGGTAATTTAAATAAATTACATATTTTGAGTTATAACTATTAATAAAAATATTCAAATGAAGTTTATGGTTTTTTTTCTAGAATTAATATATTTAAACTTTTGGTACTATAATAGTTAAAAAAAATAAAAAAAATTATAATTTAATAATTAATTATTGAAACATTTTAAAATTATAAAAAAAGCTTGAATTTTAGTTAAAGTAATTATTATTTCAAGCTCTTGCGTAAGCTCAAATTTACTCCAATTCTTGTGATTTGAGTTCGACAAATACTGAGGGCTGAGTTTGAGCACAAATTCAATTATTTTGGATTTAATAAATACTTAAACTTGATTCGAGTTTGAACATTTAAAGTAAGTTTGAGTACGAGTACCTAAGTACCCAACTCATTGACCACTCTAATTAAAGCTATTGGTAAAATTGTTCAAAACCTCTTAATTAATTTTTTTATATATTAATTTATTAAAATTATTTTAATTTTTTATTATTATTTATAATATTTTAAATATCAACCCATCTTAACTTTTACTTTTCTATGCTCCCCATCAACTTTTATTTTATCTTTGCTAATTAAGCACCGTACCTGCACCTGGCCCAAGTAGCCTTCGAGCTATCTTGGAGGTGCACTTTCCTCCGGTTCATGATGGGTTCCAACCCACTCTTGTACACTTGTCCAAAAAAATTAAGCACCGTACCTGCACTGGATAATTTCCGGTGTTATTAATAAATAAATGTATTGTTTGCTTCTTATGATCTAAACCCTGCATATATTGATCACGTTAATTTTTCTAGAACGTTTGTTGTTCCTTTTTTTTTTTTTTTTTCGATGTTGGATAATGAACTGCTATAACTTCTTATTTTCCAAATCCCTTCTCATCATATTTAAACTCCAAATTTTCAATATGAATATTCAAGGTTTTAACTATTAAAATGTTTACTAAGGGACCTTAATAACAGTATATCTACGGAATACTCTTCGCTTTCTCAAATCTCTTAACACTTGTCCCCAAGCTCAAAACACTGAGGCGCAGGCTAAATGAGTTTAAATCACTTGCCAATTTCACAATTCTTCATGCAAGAGAGAAATCATAATCATACATAGTTGAGGGAAGCCTGAAAACATCAAATATAACAGCCTTCCCTTAATTTGACAAATCACATCATCAAATCGTCAATTTATTGAGAATAAAATTATAGAGTGAAACCTGTTAGTATTATGCTTGGTGTTAGTGAGTCACAACTTCAAGTAACTACAAAACATGATTAATTAATCGTTATATAAACAATGGAAACCAGACTAAAATAGAGTTGTGAAGATTATATTAAGACTTCATTTCAAAGGTTTTCCTTTACTGAGAACAGAGTATGCTGGAAAGCAAAAGCTTGGAACTGCTACGGGAGCCGGTTGATCTTTAGAGCCTCGAACCTGTTAGTTTTAGGATCATAAGAAACCAGATCTTTCTTGTTACACTCCAACACAATCTTCGTGTTCTTCAGGACACATAAAACTCTCATGAATCTTCCCACCCAGCTCGAAGCAAAATCTTCGATCACCATTCCAAGAGGAGCATTATGACACTTGTTACACTCCAACACAATCTCCCCGTTCTTCAGAACTGAAAAGGCCAGATAATAGTCAGGTGGGTCTCATTGCCATACAACAGAGTAATCCATGATGATGTAAATAACACAACTGTTAACTGATGCATTGATGATCAATGATTCAACACAAACTAAAAACTAGTAGTAGATTCTTACAGAAAAAGAGTTGATTCAAGAGAGAGAGTTAAAGTTGCAAATTCATGGATGCCTTCGCTGAGAAAAGAGAAGGTAGAAAAGGAATTGCCAGGAAATGCTCGGGCAACCCACTCATTTGAAGAGTCTTGAATCTGTTTTCTACAGGATCATAAGAAACCAGAGAACTGTCATTATCCTGCAAAATAATCTCACCATTCTTCAGTGCACATATAACTTTGGGAGATCTACTTAAGAAGCTTGACCATCCACCAGGAAAACAGGGATCAAAGGAGAACTGTTTTACCCAAGATTCCTTGACACGGTATTGCTTCATCACCCAGATATCAAAAGTATCAACCAACCCAGCTGCCGATAGACACCCATTGAGCACGGAAAGACTGAAGCCACGTGACACAAGTTGTTGACAAGGAGGGTGCGGAATTTCTTCAAACACCTCATCTGCAAGCTCGAAGGAGATAATAGCAAAGATATAACTAAACCCTCCTGTCCCAACAACACCCACCCAATGGAGAGATCCTTCAACTAGAGCCTGAGGTGGTGTGATTACGAAATCCCCGAGCTCTGGAGGCGAAGCTCCTTTGTTTCTCCACTCTGTTGTTCCTACGGTAAACACCTGAACCATTGCTTCATTAACGGTGTCGAATACTTCATCAAATTCTCCCACTAGCGCCAGGTCTGCTACCATTATGAACTTCTGATAGGACACAATCCTGACCACTTTGAATTCTTCTGTCCTCGGATGGAACCCAAATCCAAAGACTTCAACTAGAGCCAAAAATGGGTTGTCCGCTGGTTGGACTCTCACAGCGTCTCCAACAAAAGGATTGTAAATTAGCAGACCGTCAGTCGCATCTGAAGCACTAAATGTGGGATAGGGGATTGTGGGATAGGATACGCATAAAAGCCCGTTGCAAGAACCCACCAGATTAGAAACTTCTGAATGCTGTGGTGGGTCCATTTTCCTAACCCTTCTACTACAACCCTCACTATCCACAAAATAGAGTCCCTGGATGGCAGTGGAATCCTTCCCGAACAGAATCAGATATGGGTTTGAGTCGCTTACCCGGTTGCGGAACCTCGGAGGGAGTCTTGGATCGGCAATTAAATCATAGCCGGCATGGGAAGTGGTCTTGAAGTGGATCAGAGAGGTGATCGGGAGTCTTGATAGGATTTCGACCAGAATCTCCCGTGGGAGAAGATGAAGATCTCTCTGGACCATCGCTCTGTTGGAAGGATCATCTGCAAGGATGACTCTTTTCTTCTCTCTTTCCTCTTCGGCATCCATTGTTTGTCTAAAGAGAAACGAAATGTGAATGATGGGAAACGACGAAACGTCGCCTGCGTCGTATATATAGCGTCGAAACCACAGTGGAAGATAGGAACTTTATTGGGTTAAAGCCAATCAACCCTCTTACAAGGGAATTGATTAGGATCGTCCTTCTACACTCCCATTTGTGCTTTTACAGTCATCTCTCTACTTTGCAAAAAGATGTCCATAGTCGTCCTTATGCTAACTTACTCACTAAGTTTATAAAAAAAGTATATAAAAAGTAATTAAAATTAATTAAAAATTATAATATAAATTTATATTTTTAAATACATATGTAGATGCACTATGGCTTGTTATCCATAATAATTAATTTTTAGTTATAGTTTAAAAAATGAAGTATTGTTCATGTACGGCAAAGTTTCGACGGGGGTATTTAACCAAATTTAAAAATATTTATTTAAAATTTTGTTAAAAATTAATGAAAGTCAATGAAAGTATTTAATAAATTCTTCTTTTATAAATTTAAAATTTTATTAAAGCCAAACATTAGAATTTAAAGTGATATTTAAGTAAATTTTAAATTTTATATATCTAATTTTTTTTAAACTTACTTAAAAGCATCTTTAAAAGTTAATTTTTGATATTTTATTCAATAAAATTTCAAATTTATAAAAAAACACTTACTTTTTTAAGTTTTATTAAATACCCTCAATGTTATAATTTCCTTTTTTATTATGAATAAATAAATGCATTTTTTGCTTCTGATTATCATAGCCCTTCATATATTGATGGTAATTTCCTTAGTTCATTAATGATGGTGTGTTATTTAATTCACTATTATAATTTTTTTTTCTTTGCCAATTTGACAATTTTTCATGTGGGAGAAGAGCAAAATTATATATAGTTGATGTAAACCTTGAATATCATTGAAGTAGCCTGCTCTTATTTGACATATTTCATCCTCAAATTGTCAATTTCTTAAAAACAAAATTGTAAACTGAAACCTGCCAGTATTCTGTTTGCGGTGTGAGTGAATCATAACTTCAAGCAACTGCAAAACAGAGGAAATTATATATTCACACACAAAGGAAGAGTTGTGAAGATTATATTAAACCTTCATTTCAACGGTTTCCTTTACTAATAACAAAGTAGGTTAGAAAGCAAAAGCTTGGAACTGCTGCGGGAGCCTGTTGATCTTTACAGCCTTGAACCTGTCAGTTTTAGGATCATAAGAAATCAAGGCTCTCTTGTTACATTCCAGCACAATCTCCCCATTCTTCAGGACACATATAATCCTTAAGAATCTTCCCATCCAGTTCGAAGCAAAATCTTCATTCACCATTCCACTCTGCCCATCAAAGAAGAAGAAACAGAGGAACATAGTGGTTGATACGGTATTGTACGAAAATTAATCTTTATTTAACAACAAACTTACAATTAACCATTCTTCTAAAAAAAATTGCTACTGCAATTGCAATTGTATGTAATTGATACCAAGAAAATTAAACTTGGTTAAACGAGGTATTTGTTTTTAGAGAGTTTTGGAGGAATGCAAATTAAAAATACATTATGGAAAAAAAAATCAAGTGGATACCAATAGGAGTTTAGTCAAATTCCAAGATGTTATTTTGTTATTGCCTATGCTTGAACTTAGGACTTGGAAGATAAAGAACAAGATGCAATGTATGCAACAGAAAGCAAAAGTGGTGCAGATGATCTAGATATACATATTTGAATTGATGAGTTTGCGCTAACATTAACGTAATTACAAAAGTAGGGATGGATAGTAGATTTGGGGTGATATGCGCCATCAAGATAAAGTGTGCAACTCATGAGTTCGTCCTTTCATCAATGGATTTTATTTGATTTAGATCTCTTTTCATTCATGATGACATGCCTTACTTATATGTTATTTTTATATTTATTTTATTACAAAAATAATATAATTATAATATCGCGTAATATTATAAGTTTTATAATTTGATCCTCAATCTTCTCATCTTTACTTTTTCTTTTCCTTTCTATTTTCTACCCTTTCTCTCTTTATCCACCTTTCTCTTCTCTTTTCCTCTCTTTCTTGATTGCATCGATCTTGTAAATTAGGCCATGGGGAAAAAGGAAAAAGAGGAAAAAGGTCCATTTTAGTAAATGAGTTTAAGTTAATTGCCAATTTGACAATTTCTTCATGCAAGAGAGAAAACATGATCATACATGGTTGATGGAAACCTGAAATATCAGTGTAATAGCCTTTCCTTATTTGACAAATCACATAATCAAATCGTCAATTTCTTAAGAACAAAATTATAGAGTGAAACTTGTCAGTAATCGGTTAGTGTGAGTGAGTCACAACTTCAAGTAACTACAAAACCTGATTAATTAATCAAAATATATAAACAAGGGAAGCCTTACTAAAGCTGAGGAAATTATATATCCGTATACTAAAGAAGAGTTGTGAAGATTATTTCAAAGGTTTCCTATACTGAGAACAGAGTATGCTGGAAAGCAAAACCTTGGAACCGCTACGGGAGCCGGTTGATCTTTAGAGCCTTGAACCCGTTAGTTTTAAGATCATAAGAAACCAGAGTTTCTTGTTACACTCCAACAAAATCTTCCCGTTCTTCAGGACACATAAAACTCTTATGAATCTTGCCACCCAGCTCAAAGCAAAATCTTCAATCACCATTTCAAGGGGAGCATTATAACGCTTGTTACACTCCAACACAATCTCCCCGTTCTCCAGACCTGCCTTCTGAGAAAAAGGCAGATAATAGTCAGGTGGGTCTCACTGCCATACAACAGAGGTCATCCATGATGATGTAAATAACACAACTGTTACTGATGCATTGATGATCAAAGATTCAACACAAACTAAAACAACTAGTGGTAGAGTCTTACAGAAAGAGAAGTCAAAATTGCAAATTCATGGTTGCTTTTGCTGAGAAAAGAGAAGGTAGAAAAGGAACTGCCTGGAACCAATTGGGTAATCCACTCATTTGAAGAGTCTTGAATCTGTTTTCTACAGGATCATAAGAAACCAGATAAGTGAAAGGACTGTTATTATACCACAACAGAATCTCCCCATTCTTCAGTGCACATATAACTTTGGGATATCTTCTTACGAAGCTTGGCAATTCACCAGGAGAACAGGGATCAAAGGAGAATTGTTTTACCCAAGATTCCTTAACATGGTATTCCTTCATCACCCAGACATCAAAATGCAAAGTATCAACTAACCCAGCTGCCGATAGACACCCATTGAGCATGGAAAGACGATAGTCACGTGACACAAATCGTTGACAAGGTGGATGCGGAATTTCTTCGAACACCTCATCTGCAAGCTCGAAGGAGGTAACACCAAAGATATCATCAACCTCTCCCATCCCAACAACAGTCACCCAATGGAGAGATCCTTCAACTAGAGCCTCAGCTGGTCTTACATCCGCCAATTGTGGAGGCGTAGCTCCTATATTTCTCCACTCTGTTGTTCCTACGGTAAACACCTGAACCATTACTTCTCTCACTTCTTCCACTTCTTCCACATCTAGCGCCGGGTCTACGACCGTCAAGATCTTCTCGTACCACACAATCCTGACCACTTTGAACTCTCCTGTCCTCGGATGAAACCCAAATCCAAAAACTTCAAATTGATTAAGAAATGGATTCGCTGGTGGGACTCTCACAGCGTCTCCAACAAAAGGATTGTAAATTAGCAGACTGTGAGACGCCGATGAACCACCGATTAAGGATAAGCATAACAGCCCATTGCAAGAACCCACCAGATTCTCAACTTCTGAATGCTGTGGTGGGTCGATTTTCCTAACCCTTCCACTACAATCCTCACTATCCACAAAATAGAGTTGCAGGGACGGGGAGACAGGGAAATTGTATTTGAACAGAATCAGACATGGGTCTGAGTCGCTTACCCAATTACAGAACATCGGAGGGAGTCTTGGATCGGCGATTAAGTCATACCCGGCATGGGAAGTGATCTTGAAGTGGGTCAGAGAGGCGATCGGGAGTCTTGATAGGATTTCGAGCAGCATCTCCCGTGGGAGAAGATGAAGATC